CATTTTTAAATGCATTAAAAATGTAATGGAGTATTTGTTTTTAGCATTTTACTTGACCATTTGTTCTGATTTCATTTGGTTTTTTTTAACACCTCATTTTTTTATTGTTTCATTTTTTTTATGAAAGAGAAATTAATTTGTTGTAGTAAAAATTGATTTTAATTCGAGTATACAATTAAAATACATTCTACTAATCTGAGAAATGCCTACGATTGCATAATAGGGTATATCAACAATTCCGTCGAAAGCGACTTTAGACGAATATGAAAGGAGATTCAGTTTCAGTTTATTTGGAAATTTTTGGGGGGTCAAGGCTGTTATTTAGGTTTTCTCAGGTGCATCTTTAATGCATAATTATTGTTTATTTTTTAAGCATATTTAAGCACCGGTTGCACCAAGCTCTCTTAAATTTATGTATGGAGTAAATTTATTCACAGTTAGACCATTTTATAAATTCGCCGTAGAGTGCTTCTATTTAGCCATGCGGTTGTGAATATCGACCAAATCCTCCATCATTAGTGGCAAATGGTGATGATACCAATGATACATCACGTTTTTTGGTGAAATACCTTCGATGAATTTTCGATGAAATTGGTCGGCAGAGTATTTTTATTTATTTCGATACGAGGAACTGAGGATTTTCTTAACTGGGATTAGTTGAAACCGGGCCTATGTGCATTAAAAATGTCAAGAAGAATTGTTGTTTACACTGTTCGAAAATTCCTCTTGAAATTTCAAGTGAAAAGGCTTGAAATTTTTAACAATGACAAAATTACATGAAATTTCTATACATTTCTTCACTGACGAATCAGTTTATTTCTTGAATATTCAAGTAATTCTCGATTTCCAGATCCATGCGGCACTAAAAAATGTGGAAAATTGGGAAAGTTCAGGCAAAAACTTTTCTGAATTCTCAATCTATTAAAAATTCAGTTGCATTTGATGTTCAATTTTTAACATGAGTTGGAAAATACAATTATTCATTGGAACCTCAATGATCGCTCAATATGAAAAATTCAATTTTCTTGAATTTTCAAGATGAATGAAAAATTTTATGAATATTTTCATTTGAAATTAAATTCAAACTCACAATATTGAAAATTCAGATGCAGCTGCGATTGAAATTTCACGAAATTTCTAACAGTGTAGAATTTTATTTGAAAATTTATCCTCATTTTCTTCAATTTGTTCTGAACTACTAATTTTGCTTCCGAATGGAAGCTTTGTAATCATCCATTTTTACGATCTTCTAATTTTGCTTGGAAATGATGTATAATGTCGTGAAATATCAAGATATGATGTTTTTAGAAAATGTGTGTGGATTTTTCTGAATTTTCTTATAAATCTTCACGAAAAAAGGAGTGAAGTCGAAGCTAAAAATCTGAAATTTTGTGAAATAATTGGCATCATAAAAATGAACGATTACAAAGCTTCCATTCGAAAGCAAAAGAAAAAGAGTTATAGCACAAAAAGAGACGGTCGGATGGGTTCTACCAAAAAGGCTCGAACCCCTGCTTATTTTATATTGAATTTCTAATTAATTTACTGGAAAAACTTTGTCGATTTTTTTCACGCTTTGTTTTATTTATTTTTTATTGCTTGAAATTTGTTTACATTCGGTTTTGTGCATCCAATCATGCGATAATTTCCCTGTAATTCGAGAATGAAATGAAAATCCATTTTACTAATCTGAAAAATCCCTACAATTTCATAACAAAATTCAGTCAGAAATTTTAAACACCTTTCACTTACGGAAAATTTAATCCCCAATCTCTCGACCGATTAAACGATCCACCCGTTCCCCACGAACTTTTCTCACCTTAAAAAACAGTAAAGGAAGCCTACCCAGGATGTACATTTACAACATATCCCCATTCACTCTGAACTTGAACTATTTCCCCTTAATTTCTATTTTCCCACCTTATCGCCTTTCCAAACTGAAACCACTTTGGTTTCTGAAATTACAAACTCAGTTGATTTTATCAGCGATTTAATAATGCTATAAATGATGATGTTCAATATTAGCTTTATTCTTGGAGTCAACGGGAAGTATTCATGTCAATCTAACCAGAGGATTCAGTGAAATTCTTCCGCTAGAAATGAGATAGAATCTCTTTATTTTTGTTCAAATGAGTAGTTGATGTTCGACAAAAAAGACAAAAAAAATTGTAAAAAAAAATCGCCAAGAACGGGTGTTGTTCTTCTGTATTTTTGATGTTTACAAACATCAATTATTCTGTGAATATTTTGGAAAGTGTATTTATGGAAAAATGACGGAGGATTTTTTAAAGTGAACTTACGGAGTAAAAAGGAAAGTTTTATGATGTCTAAAATGATTAATTACTGAATTCATTCAACAATGAATAATAGTTGGATTTAAAAAATTATATCTACACTATTTCTTGAAAATTATCAACAAATCTTTCTCATTCCTTTTCCCTTTAAGGATGTTTTGCTATTTTCAGCAAATCTTATTTTTTCATGTTCAAGGAAAATTCTATAATTTTCTTGGCTGATAGCAGAACATATGGAACTAACTTCTTAGATGTTAAAAAAAATTAATCGCAGCAGTCTCGCCAGAAATAAATAAACAAATTTTTCTTTCTACACGGGCTCTTATGGGATTCATGTTGAAATTTATAATTCACCTACTATAAGACTAAGAATAGAAATAAAAATAGACGGTAATCTGCCAAACTATAGTGAATCGCATAGCCAAAAAGAGGAAATATTTGAAAGATTCTGCCCCATATAAGCACATGTTAGCGCATGCGTTTGGTACATTTTGTTTACTCCATTTCTAAATAATAAACGTGGGTCTGGGTGGATTGAAATTTTTATCAAGATAAAGCGCATAACTTCATCTCTCAGTTAAAAAACTTCTTTTTTTTTTAATACTTGCGATTTTGGATAAATATCCTTAAATCCATTGATTTTTTAGATTTTCCCAAAAACAAAAATTCAAATTAAAAAATCCTATCATTTATTCTCCTCCAGACAGACCCCGAAACCGGCTGTAAAAATTTAAAAAAAAGGACTTCTATAAATAATAACCCAGAAAATCTTCATTCCCATTTTTCCACAATTTTCTCACCTCCTACTAAAAAAAGGCAGTAAATGGAACCCAATATTTTCCCATTCTCATTGAACTCAGCTTATTCCTCTTAATTCCAATTTTTTATCAATTTTTTTACCTTTTCGAACTACTCGATTTCCACGTCACGCTCCTGTCGAAGAGGTAATGGCAAAGGGGGGTTGGTGAGGAGGAGGGGATCGACAAACTTCCTTTCCATTGCTTTAGCGACCTCGTTCGTTAAACGCGTCGTTGCTCTGGCCAGCGTTGAAAAAGACCGGACAACCTTCACTACCATGTTGGTCCCACGCGGCTCTTCCGAGGTCACTAAGCACGAGATTTCTTCCCTAAGATAATTTCATTTGCAATGTAACAACATTGTTACATTAATTACGGAATTTTAAGCACTTCGTTATGTTGAATTTTTACATTTTCTCAGAGTTTTTATCTTCTTCTTTTGTCGTTTTTTCTGGCAAGAGGCCATATTTTGCATGATAAATATGGGGAAATAGTTCATTTTGGTGAGGATGAGCGGTAGAGAGATGTTTGGTGAGACGCGATTGAGGACAAATGTGCATTTTGTTAGAAAATGCAGAATCGGAATTTGTTTTATGGAAAAAATTGATCTCAATTAATTGTAATCGACAGTTGAAAATGATTCATCAACAATGAATTCTTATAAACTAGAGGATTAATCGTGATTCGAAAAAATTTGATAGACTACTGGGTTTAGTAAGATTCAATCTTTCTTGAAAGCTTGGAGAACTTTTTATGGGAAATTTAATTCTCTACAAAAAAAGTCCTTCGATATTCTCTTCTACACTTAATAATGATTGAAATATCAACGATGTTGTCTCATTAACAATTTTGTCTTCCTCAAAGAATTGAAAAATTTTGTAATAAAAACATTGTGAAACTTTCGATATGGGTAGAGTTGAGCCTGTGACTTTTACGTCCATGCCTACAAGGTTGAGAACGCACTCGAAAGAGTCCAGGGGAGCTCCAAAGCGTCCGTAAGACTCATACTTTCACCGACCGTGACTTCTACGCGTTCCACCCAACGAGTTTTCCACCTGAGATAAAAGAAGCAATAGAGACACACGTGACCATGTTGCCACGTAGGTTACTGGTACCAGATGCAGACTACAACGATGCCTAGAGTTAAATTGTTGTGATAGATGTAATGGATGGATTACATAGGTGGGAAAGGTTGAAATAATGGTTTTCAGATAAATCAAGGAATTTTATTATTCATTCATGTTACGGTTAGGGTTTATTTATTTGGACGTGATAACCCATTTCCGGTGATGTGACGTCCCATGGGATGAAATCATTTTTTTATGGCAGAGATAAAAAAAGTGAAAGGAGATGAATCAAAACAAATTTTTAGTTTATTTCGTGAATATCTTAGGAACTATTGGATTTATCAAAAAACGGCAGAACAATGTTTTTGGGCAGAATCGCATTTTCTACAAAAAATTTTTTTGACTTTTTTTTGATGAAACTAATTATTATGAAAATAGCTACGAAATAGTTTAAACGCGAATGCAGTTATCAATTTCTCATGAACATCAGTTTTCAAATTATTTTGTAAATATGTTAGGCACTATTATTATTGTACTCATCGAAAAAAGTCGAATTTGTTTTATAGAGAATTTAATTTTATACAAAAAGTTCCTGCAACTTTTTTCAATTGCTTTAATAGTTCTCGTGGTAAAAATTCCGCGAATTTTTTCATATTTAACAATTTAAATGCACAAACAATTATTTTTTAACGCTGATATTTCCATCAGATAATACCCCGATGAGCCTCAAATCCCAGAGTTTTTTCACTTTTATCAGGCTTCATCATCGAAGAAGATGAAAATAAAGAAAAGAAAAAAGAGAAAAACGTATTGAGACAATTTTTCATTTATTATTGTTGCAGGAAGGGACGATTTATCCCCACCAAGTTCCCTGAACGGCTATAGTGCAGACAGTTGTGATGCGAAAAAGAAAAAAGGACCAACACCCCGACAACAGGAGGAGTTGTGTCTAGTGTGTGGTGATCGTGCATCTGGTTATCACTACAATGCACTAACGTGTGAGGGCTGCAAGGGTTTCTTCAGGCGGAGTATAACGAAAAACGCAGTTTACCAGTGTAAATATGGAAATAATTGTGAGATTGACATGTATATGAGACGAAAGTGTCAGGAATGCAGGTTAAAGAAGTGTTTGTCGGTGGGAATGAGGCCTGAATGCGTTGTACCAGAGTATCAATGTGCTGTCAAACGCAAGGAGAAGAAGGCCCAGAAGGTAGGGGTAAGGACATATCGATTCATTTTTTTTACACATTCCACGCTGTTAAGGAAAAAATTCAAATTTCATGGACAGTCCACTAGTAATATTCATGAAAATGTCATTGAATGCGATTTAACAGGGAAAAAATTATTAAATGTCAAATTTTACTGAAAATTGAATGAAAATCCAAATTTTTGATTATCATGAGAATTCCTCAACCTATTTGAACTTTCAATAAAATCATGAATATTCAGTGCCGAATAACGATGAATTTGGAATCAATTTAAAATTCAGGAATATTTGTACTGAAATTTTCACTAATTTTCAGAGAATATAATAATTGAACTGAAATTTCAATGGAACTATCATGTGATGAAATATTCTAAGTGCACATCATTTTTTTCCAATTTCCATTTTCTATAATTCAACGAATTAAAGTGATGTAAATAAATTAGATGAGCGAAATTGGTTAAATAACTTTTTTGTAGAGAATTTCATAAACTGAAAATAGTTCATTTGGCATTTTCTTCTAGTATGACTCGTTATGGAGATAAACAAATATTCAATAAGATAACACTAAAAACTTGATTGATAATTCCGTAATTATCTCGTTAATGAGTGATTGTAGAGAGAAATGTCAGAAAATATATTATTTTTGAAAATTTCGTAAGTCTAAACCAGCTCTTTTTACATTTTGTCATAGAATGACTCTTTATGGTGATAAACGAGTATTTAATCAGATAAAAATGAAAAATTGATTGGTAATTCTGTAATCACCTCGTTAGTGAGTGATTTTAGAGAGAAATGTCAAGAGGTATTGATTTTTGATAATTTTAGAAGTTGCAAAAAGGTTCTTTTGGCATTTTCAGGTGAGAGTTCACTCACTACTGGAATGATCAAGTATTTAATTAGTTACAGCTGAAATTTTCAAACGTGACAGACTAATGTTATTGTTGTTGAATTCACATTATCTCTTTAATTAAGGATTATCCGAAAAAACGTAGCCAAATTTTAGGGGAAAATGTGGAAAAGATAAAATTTGACGGCGTCTTTTCCCCCGAAATACCACATCAGAGAGATAGTTACCCATTTAGTACTCCTAGATCCTTCTCCAAACTAAATACACCATTTTGACTTCATTAATAATTTCTTTTTTTTACCCTGTTGCCCCAGGATAAGGACAAACCGAACAGTACAACGATGAACGGCTCACCTGGAAGTATTAGTGGAATGGCCGCCGACCAGATTAAAATTGAACCCTCGGAGGCAGATTGTCTGCCAATGAATTCTGGCAGTACTGACTCGTTAATAGAACTTAAGAATGGACTTTCAATCGTGAGTCCTGAGCAGGCTGAGCTCATTCAGAGACTCGTTTATTTCCAGGGACTCTATGAGAATCCCAGTCCTGAGGATCTTGAAAGAATTACGGTAAAATTATTTATTACTAATTGTTATTGCTGGAGAAACCTTGGGATCAACATTTATAAGCAAAAAGTTGTTCCTTTCTCTCATTTTTAATTGTCATTACCTCGTTAACAAGTAATTTTAGAAGAAATCTTTGTGTATAATTTCATTTTTTACCACTGATTTTTTTAACGGATTGCATAATTAATAAAAATTCCAGGTTTTTGTACTTTTTTTTACGCCAATTATTATTTCATTATCTTGTTAATGAGAGGTAAGAAAAATTGTCCGCTGAATTTTTTTATAGGAAATTCAATTCGCTACAAAAAAAGTCTTATGAAATTTTCCCTCAGGTCAACTCGTTGCAGAGATAATGACCAAATTAACAAAAAAAATTTAATTTTTCTCTTTCTCATTTTATTGATTTCGTAATTTTCTCGTTAACAAGTGATTTTAGAACAATCAATTTCTACACAAAAAAAATCATCATGACAATTTTTCCCTAGAACCCCTCGTTAACGAGATGATTGAACGATTAGTAATTGGTTAATAAATGTAAAAGAATCATTACAGAGATCGTATCGTTTGAATTGTTGGAAATACCAATTTAGGAGAAATTTTTGTAGAGAATTTCATTGTTTTACAGCAAAATTATTTAAGCGATGATTAAATAGATAATAAAAATTTCATTTTTTTCAAATTTTACAGGTGCAAATTATTATTGAATTATCTTGTTAATGAGTGGCAGGAAAATTGCTCAAGAAATTTTTTGTAGAAAATTACATTCTCTAATTGACAAATTAGCAAAAATTTTATAATTCTTTTCTTTTTCATTCTACTGATTTTGTAATTTTCTCGTTATCAGCTGATTTTATAAAAATTAATTTCTCTCCAAAAAAAATATGGCATTTTTCTCTAGAACCGTTCATTAACGAAATGATTACAAGATTAGTAATTGGGTAATGAATGTAAAAAATCTGATTCCAAAATCTCATTGTTGGAATTTTTGTATTGAAAATCTCAATATGAATAATTGGACTTGTTTTAACAGCATCGACCAACGGAAGGTGAAGATCCCGGTGATGTTAGATTTAGGCATATGGCGGAAATAACGATACTGACTGTACAGCTTATTGTTGAATTTGCCAAACACTTATCGGGTTTCGATAAATTGCTGAGGGAGGATCAAATTGCCTTGCTCAAGGCATGCTCCAGTGAAGTAATGATGCTGAGAATGGCAAGAAAGTATGACGCTACGACAGACAGTATCCTATTTGCTGATAATCAGCCGTACACGAGAGACAGCTACAGTTTGGCTGGAATGGGTGATACCATCGAAGATTTGCTGCGTTTTTGCCGGCATATGTACAATATGAAAGTCAACAATGCTGAGTATGCATTATTAACGGCTATCGTTATTTTCTCAGGTAAAAAATCATCAGAGTTTCATCACTTAGTTTTCAATAAGGACCCAATTTTTCATATTACAGACATTGAAGAATTAGAGACAAAATGATATGTAGATTTTTGCTTTTTTTTTAATGGGAATTTAATTTTTTTCGTTACATTTTTGTGGGAAATATTGTCACATGTAAAATAACACGTTCCACATTTTCCGTTAGATTCAATAGTTTTTGAGATAATACTAGATAGACATTATGATTTATGTATACAAATATCAAAATTTTTTTGGCAGAAAATATGTAGAGATATTAATGCAAAGAATTTAATTTTAATTTTCTATTACCGACTGTAATGGTTAGGTGGGTGAGGTGTTGCTCCGGCGGACATCCAAGCTAAGCAGCGTTGAGCTGGGTTAGTACTTGGATGGGTGACCACTTAGGAACACCTCGCTCGCACAAAAATTGCGGGCGGTAGGTACGGTGTAGCGGCCTAGTGTCGTCTCCCTCTAGTCAGTGTGACAGATGGATATATTAGAGCACTGCACAATCGGCCGGCTGTGCGACTGGGGTTTTACATGGTTTCCCGTGCAGGCCTAACTCGAATGGGGCACAGTTAAGAGTAAGACGGCCATGATACCGCAGATAACAATGAGAGGAAAGAAAGGACGGGAGGCAGGCTAGAGGGAGGGGTTTCAAATCAAGAATTACTTCGATAAAACCAATGAAATAGAAAAAATAAAAAATAAAATAAAAAAAAATAATTTTCTATTAAAAATGTTTTTCGACATTTTTCTTTAAATTCACTAGTCTTTGAGACAGTTGGGTAATTACGGAACTTCTCTTCATTATATTATCTTTCGTAAATCGTGGAATTATCTAGGTAATTATCAATTTCGAGGGAAAATGTCATGGTCTTTTGGCCTTGATGTCATCAAATTTCGTCATTCATGGCGAAATCCATTAGTCTTTAAGATACTTAAGAAATTGAGAAATGGAAACAATTGTGGATAACTTTCAATTGAATCTTGTTAACTGTATAATTATCTTGGTGATTGCTGGTCTAGACATTTTTTGAGAATTTGATTTTCTTTAAAAAGAAGTCTCGGAAATTTGTTGTTAAATTTACTAGGCTGAGATATTCTGAAAAAGTGAAGAAACAAAAAAAAATCCTCGAGACTTTATACAATCTGTTATTCATAATGAAATCATGTCAGAAACAATTCCTTTCTATGAGATTTTGTTAATTGTGGAATTATTTCGACATAATAAAAAATTACAAAATAAAAAATTCATTTTTCAAAAAGACATTTTTTCAAAATCATCCCAGTAGTCAACCTCAAAAGAACACATCGAGATACATTTTCCTAGAGAATTCAATTATACTTAGATAAATCTGAAAATACAAAACAATTTCCAAACTAAATTCCACCTGTTCTTATTTCCAGAACGACCAATGCTCCTGGAAGGTTGGAAGGTGGAGAAAATTCAGGAGATATACCTCGAGGCACTCAAAGCATACGTGGACAGTCGTCGTAAACACAAATCAGGAACCATATTCGCTAAACTACTCTCCGTATTAACGGAATTACGAACACTCGGCAATCAAAACAGCGAAATGTGCTTCAGTCTGAAGCTCAAAAACAAGAAGCTACCTCCATTTCTTGCCGAGATCTGGGATGTCATGCCCTAGTTTATTTTCACTCTCAACAGGCATGCTAATTGCAGTGTAATTGCCCCAGTGGCATCATATTATTTCAATAACGACGCCCACTGCACATTTGTTATTGTCGAAATAAAAAAAACACTCATTCAAGTGGGAAATAACGAGAGATAAAAATTTAATGGAACGGTGTGCGTCAATTTTTTTTACTAGTGCACCACTGTGCCACTGCCTCATCGTCGTGATAAAATCGTTATCTCCATGCTCTTTTACCATTATTTTTTGTTCCTAAATTATTATTTTAACATTGCGTGGTACTCTACGATATTAATCCAGAAAAATTATTTATTTTACTATCGAAAGATGCGACGAAAGCGTGAAATGAACGATCAAATGCATAATTTCATCTTTTATTAACCAAAATTTCCATATTTTATTCTATAAAAAAATTGTTACTGAGCAATTAAACAACATAGTTATTTTTCTGGACCATTAGCCCGTCTTAAATCACAAAAACGAAACCAGAAACGTCACAGAAACACTCCTCAAGAACAAATAATAATAAAAAAGAAGAAGAAAAGGCAGTGGTGAAGGCACCCAGGCTGTGATACGTAGAGACAGTTACAGAGACTATATAAGAAACTATTCTACACTTATATATTACTAAAAAAATTGAGGAAAAATGATAAACATAATGATCACTTACCCGGACCCCTCTAAACTAAAAAATAAATCATAAAATTGAGCAAAATACTAGGTAAGACATAATCGTTAATGTACAGAGAGAGCTCGAAGATCAGTGTGAGACTGAAAGAAAGAAAAAAAATCTTAATTACCTGAAAATTGAAGGGAAAAAAATCTACGACAGAACGAAATAAAGGAAAAATAATTGAATAAACGTGAAGAGTAAATCCAATAATAAAAAAATAAACAATAATGCGCAGAGAGAAATGAAAGATGATTGAGAAGAGAATGAGGATACGAATGCGGAGTATTAAATGGAGAAAAACTAATAATTTAAGGTTTAAGATTATTAAATAATACAAATCTGTGTGCTTTGTATTGGGCACTGTTGAGCAGTGCCTCTGGCACGTACTTTGAAATAAAACTGCGAATTACGATACAATAGAGTCTATATCACGATACATAGCATAATATATTGCCAGCATATACGTTTGTTTGTACGAAGTAATAAAGCTGATGAGAATATAGGGGATAATGAGAGTTTTCAGGAATGATTAATCATCATTTGATGATGGAGATCAAGTATTTGGGGGTGGTGAAACGTGTGAGGATGATAGATCGACGACTTCTAGATATTTAAGAGGAGTAAGCGAGACTAGAGATGTAGATGAAAATTTAAAAAAATGGTCTTTTAGTCAGTCAGCTAGGCTTTAGGTGACCGAGTCAAGTGCAAAGCCCTGTGCCTTCAGCAGCGGACATCGGCTCACCGAAGAAAAAAAAATAATGAGAACATTTTTAAAAGAAAAAATAACGAAATCCATGAAATTTAACCGTCCGTTTTAATTTTTTAATAAATAAGGAGAAAAGTGAAATGGAAAAAAAAAGAAAAATAATGTAAAATGTCATGCAAAAAATATTAATAACGTATGGATTAAATTTAAATTTAAAGATTTAAATTTAAAGTGCAGGTAATTACAATTGTAAATTGCAAGAGGTTCGTTATGATAATGAAGTGACAAAATAATTGTTAGAGGATCGGGCGAGCAATTTGACATGTTTTGAGGATTTTAAATGTATTTTTCAGGGTTTTGGGCGTGGGGGAGGATCTGATGCGACGATTACGGAGTTTTGGTGATGTTGTAACATGATACGAGTAGAATTAATTGATAATTGAGTGGTGGAAGGGTGAGGGATGATAGAAAGTCGTGGATATCTCTTAAACTATTAAATCTATCGAAAAAAGTTAGAAAACATTTTTTGTGGGGAATTTAATTCTCTAAATTGTTTCTTTTATGACTTTTTTCTGTAAAATCGATAGTTCAAGAGATGGCGACAAAAACCAGTTGATAAATTTCATTTTTTTACTCTTCACCATTTCACCACTTAATTATTTAACGATAAATAATAAGAAAAATGTCAGAAAGAATCGAGAAAAGACTCAGAGACTTCTTCAGAGTGGGAAGATTACGGAAGAAATCATAAAAATTATCAAGCGTGATCCAGTAAGCGAGAAACAAACAATTAACCAATGAAATTCTTGATGTTGTAACACTGTTACTCTATTGCTATTGATTCATTGTACGCAGTTATATTCTGTAGTCAACTACCATGCAAGTGATAACGTCATTATTTGTGTAAAGTATTAAGAGCATAAAATTTTTAAAAAACCCAAAAAAAACATTAATTATGGTGAAAAACAAAAATTATGAATGACAAAGAATACACACATTTTGACGTATGGCAGTGATGTAAGAGTGTAATTAACGAACAAAAAACACTTGAGAATTTTCAATTACACCAGGGAGTGACGAATTGTTAACAACAATTTATCCAGTCGATAATTATTGTGAATATTGATAATATACGTGTCATGTTGAAGACTCCGTCATGTTAAGAATCATTCGAATTCGACTTTACATTTTCATTGAATGAAAAATGAGAATGTAAAATCAAAAGTATAATCCTTTTGCTGATTCAGGGATTTTTCAATTTTTTATTATCATTATGAAATCGTTGAATTTGTACATTTGTTTTTATTAAGGTGTAATTGTGTTCATAAAATTTATCATTTTTTTTATAATATTGAAGAATATTAAAAGTGAGTTTACATTGAATTTATCGGTTTCTTGTGAGTTTTAACACCTTAAAAATCAAATTATATTCTAGGAAATTTTGGGGTTTTTGGGATTTTGGGTTATAAAATTCATGGGAATGTTTTCATGGCTGAGTAATATCAATTTATGAAAACTGAATTGTTTTTCTCGTTTCTTGTCAAGAACAAATTTTTTAAAAATTATTTTTCATTTTGCTCTGATGCGATTTTGATCTGTAGACAATTATTTGTACGTTTAAAATGATCTTCAGATTCTGGAGAATGTGATAAAAATGATAAATCTCGTGAATCAGCATCGGGAGATTGATAATCTCAGAAACTGTAGCATTTAACGATTCTGTGGGGAGTGGTAAAACATTGAATATGTGAGATTTAGGGAAAATATCTTTTTGTGTCGCGGGACATGAAAATTAATATATACACCTCGCCATGGAAAACATATCGCCCTCCTCCACGTGCTTACCATCTTCGCCTTCGGCTCGGAAGGCAATCTTGCACATGGGGGACGGTAATCTGTTTTCCAAGGCTCGGGCATGTAATGTACTATGAATTTTATTCTAAAACAACTAGTCTTGAAGATATTGAGATAATGTAGGGAACTGCCTTAACGACATTGAAAGAGTAAAAATTTTTGTCTTCACTACTTACTAATGAGTTTGAAGAAAAATGTCACAAAAGTTTTTTTGCAGTTTATTCAATTTCCAAGAAAATGTTTTCTGACATTTTCCTCTAAATCTACTAGTTCCAGAGATATTTTCAAAATACTCTTCGCCTTCACTATTTCACAAATATCTCCAGAACTTTTAGATTTAGAATAAAATGTCATAAAACAATAACCTATAAAACAAAAAATGTTATAGATTATGAAATTTCCAAAAAAAAAAATATTTTAAATTTTTTTCTCAAAGTTCACTACTTTCAGAAATATTTTCAAAATAGCCTGAAAACTAAACTTGATGAAATTCAAAGACTCAAAAATTGTCTCCAAACTTTTGGAAAGGTCTTCAAAATTAGTGGATGTACAGTGAAACATATCAATTGATTTCTTTGCAGACAATTAATTAATAAGAATGTCCTCACTCGACATTTCACTTGACGAGAAAATAATCTCTATGGAAAATTTACCACTCCCCTGAATTGAAAATTAAGAATCTCGAAGAAATTGAACTAAACTACGTAACGCCGCAAGGCAGACACTGCCACACCATGAGTGAACGTGAGAACACCACGATTAATAAATTCCATCATTTGCCCACCACCAAAAATAAAACACCGAAAGCAAAATAATAATCCACGAAGCATAGTAGAAGCTACCAAAAGACGAAAATAAAAACGGAAGATAAATCATCACTGATAAACGATTGAATTAAAAAATTAAAACATCCTCGTTGCATATACTGATACACTGACACAAGTTGAATCTACCACTACAACTCTTTTACCACTATTGTCGTACCTCATTAACTCGTAGGGAACCTAGTTCTATTATTATACAACTGTATATGACGATGAAAATGATGAAAAAAGCACCGCCAGTGTATACCACCGCACATTTATATTTCAATGGGGGAAAGAACTTTATTAAATAACTAATAAAGATAATTAATGAATTAAAATTCAAGGGAAATGATATCAAATCGTCTAGAGATCGAAGAAATCCACGAAATAATAATTCAACTGGAATTAATTGAACAATCAATTGAGTGACTAATTGATCAATCGAGTCGCGATTTCATCAAATATTCAATGACACTCGATAAACTGCATCGAGTGCATTAATACTTCTCTAAGTAATTCTGCGTAAGAAGTCGTTATAGAACATGAAAAAATGAGACGTTAATAAATACATTGATTAATCGTAGGGGATTCCGAGGGTAATCTTGGAACGTGGACGGCGGGTCGAACTCGTGTGAAATGAAAATTCGATCAGATTTATTGATTTTTAAGTTGATTAGAAGAATTATGGGGAAATTCGGTCGAGAGATGGTGGAGTGGCTTGAGTTTTATGTTGTTTTATTTCATTTTTATGATTGTTTTGTTAGGATTTAGGGGAAAATGTCGAAAGATATTTTGTTCCAAGGCATTCATTATCCAGATAATTACATCATAATTAAATAATGAAGAAGAATGTTAAAAATTTTGAATTATCATTGATGAATGATTCATTGAAATTATTTTGTAAAGAAATTATTCTGGAAGGAAGTGTTGAATTTCTCGTGAAACATGTATTGACATCTTTCTTTTGAAGCCCCTAAGGAACAATTAATAATAAAAGATCAAAATGAAATGTTTAAAAATGTAAGAATGAAAGAATTTTCACCAAAAAGTTGAGAGAATATTCGTTTTTAAAACGCTACAATTAAACTTTCTTAAATAAATTAATCCTTTGAGTAATCAAATAATTAAAATTACAACCTGAAAGTTTTTTCAATATCTTGGGTTTAAAGACAGTATTTGGATCATTCTTAATTTATTTAGTTTAACATGAAAGTCAAATCACTCCGTAATTCCTCGAATTAATTATTTAGCAATTGAATAAATGTTGAAGAGGGAAGGAAACGATGATTGAGGGGAATTACTTCAGTCACCCAGCCTGCGTTACAATTCTGCTCTTTTGCGAGATGAATGGATACTCCAAGACGATATACATAAAATGAAGCAATTTGATGAAATTCATACATATGACGTATTATTAATTATAAATGCAATTCTACGATCACTGCCAATGGGCGTTACTGATAACGTTCAAGTTTCGTTATCTTAGATGTTTTGTCGTATTTTTTAACCTCCGCGAGTTCAAGAACATTTGGGGGCAACACCGCCAGCTGGTGATTTGTTCATAATACTGCCAAGCATCGATTCATTGTATTTATAAAAACCAAAATTGAAGGGAAATTGGGGACGAGGAGGTGGAATTTTAATTTTTTCTGGGAGTCATGAGGGGAATTACATAGATACATTTCCATTTTTTTATCAGCCATTTGTTTATTGTTAATTCAGCTGCGAAAGGGGGGTGAGAGAAGATGAATTTAAAGGGATTTTGTTGAATTTTTTCAGTGAAAAAAGCTGTAGTTCTAGTAAAGTTCACATATTTTGAGTATAAATTATTAAAAACCAATAACTAATGATTCATTATTACAAATTAGGACTTAATAATTGATAACAATAATTAATTTTTGCTAATTGTTAATATTTCTACGGAATTTGTATCTGAAATATTGAAATTTTTTGCTAGACCTATTCAATTTTTTTACTAGTGTTCTGGTAAACAAAATTTGTTCCCATTCTATTTAGCATAAATTTTCAAAATAAGTGGCTTTAGAGAGAAATGTTGTAAGACATTTTTTGTAGGAAGTTGCATTCTCTGCAAAAAAAAGTTTTCATATTTTTCGATAAAGTTGGTGGTTTTGAAAGCATTCGAT